TGAAGGTTTTAACGGTAGAGCAGAACATATTGCTAAAAAACAGGGGCTGTAAGTCTTTATCGAATTTCTTTAGCGAGTTGAAAGCCATATCTCCATGGCTTCTCCAATCACAATTTTCTCTTTAAGTTTTGAAGAAAGAGAACTTAGAATTAGCCTTGGCGGTCAAGAATGCTCTCTACGATGCACTAGCTAGAGGCATAAGGGAACTTCACGTGTTCTCCGATTGCAAAGTGCTCATATCCCTTCTTAACTCAAGAAAAGCCACTCTAGAACTATTTGGACTTTCCCTTGATATCAGAGAGTTGGAGGGATCTTCTATCAATCTATCTTTTGTGTTTATTCCCCGTATAAGTAATGGTTTGGCTGATTCTTTGGCTAAATCTGTTTTAGGATCTCTAAACAATGCCTCCTCCTAAATCTGTTTTAGGACTGTAAGCTTTTCATTTATAAAATCTTCTTTACCCAAAAAAAAAAGAGAACTTAGAATTAGAAGCAATCGTAGTGGAAGAAAGAAGTCAAATTTGTAGAAAGCAAAATGAACATGTTTCTACTTTTCTTGTGATCAAATTTTGAAGGCTTACTTTTTGAAAGATTAATAATAGTTTTATCTATAATATTCATATGAGTTAAACTGATTACTATATATTTATGATCAATAAAATTGACAAACGTATGTTGGAGTATATATCTTTCTAATAAATCAATTTCGGTATGTTTCCACTCAATGAATGAGAGAATATGATTTTTTACAATGAATAAATAAGACAAATCTTCTCAAGCTATGAGAACTAGGGCTGGAATTTTTATCCGGGCTCCAACATCCGATCCGGTATAAGTTCGGATCCGCTAAGAAAATTAGAAAATTCGGGTAGTCCGGATCCGGATAAACATAGTAAAATCTCGGATCTGTGGAAAGAAGATCCGAATCCGGATAGTAAAATTTTAAGGTCTGGATATTCGGATTTGGACGCATGAAATACATTTGACTTTAGTTCTTTTTATAATATATCATATTTATTATGAAAAATATCATGCAAATTTTAACCAAAAATTATAAAAATTATTTTAATTATTTTAATTATTTTTAATATTATGTTCGGATCTAGATCTGGATCCGGATATCCCCGGATAACCTGATTTTTGATCGAATATTTGAAATCCAGATATCTGGAAGCCACAGATCCATATCCATATACTTTTACTACGGATTCAACAAATCCGGATCCGAATACCCTGAAATTCTAGGATATTCAGATCTGTCCGAACTCTAACGAGAACATAGAGAAAATAGATGATGCTTTCTAATTTTAACAACATTTGAACTCAAATAGATGTTTGTGAATTTAGTTATTATTCACGAATTGATTAATAGATTTAACATGAGAATCTTGAATGTAATAATGAAATATCATCAAATGTTTTGAGGGATATCCTTTGTTAACAAAATAATTGTGTTGGTTTTTTTTTTATCTCAATGCATGATTAGTTTTTTTGTAATGCTTATCTATCTAAATTTGTGATTGTCTTTCTAAACTTCATGTTAAATAATTATAATTGGTATGTGATGTGTTATTTGATGAATTTTTTTTTTTTAAAAATAAAATGTTTCAGTTTAATTTCCTTAAAAACAAAATGTAAACTTTCTTCTATACATAGATCAATATTTTGATTAGATTTTTGTTTTTTCATTTCATTAAATCTAACTTTAATTGAAGATTGTAAAGATGTGCTCACGTGAACATTGTTGGTTATTTTACGCAAAATATTATTTCCACTATAGTTGTCGGATAATTGACATGAATTTGATAACAAATTGTATTTTGTAGTGATCCTATATGGAAAACTGAAACTAATGAAATTTGAAGACGCTAAAATGTTTTGAAATAGTGACACGTTCTAATTTTACCATCACTAGGTAGTTTTGATCTAATTAGACGCATAAGTTTTACATTTATAAAGCCTGACAAAATTCAAGAGCATGATACACCAATGGAGTATTTAAGATCGAACCCAAGAAAATAAAAGTTGCACACTAATCTATAGCAATTTTTTTGGGTTTTGTTTGGTTTAAAATATATATGAAATACAAGAAATCAAAATGCAAGAAGCAAAGCATGGTAAAAACATTGGATCACGAGGTCAAAATATCATAAGAATAGATTAACAATCGAATAATGATGCAAAATACTGAATTTAACACTACTTTAGAGCAAAGA